CTCGTGCGCGGCGTCCAGGTCCTCCTCGCCCTCCTCGACGCCGGCGACCCGGGTCTCCAGGGCGGTGAACTCGACGGTCGCGTCGTGCCCGCGGCGCTCCGCGGCGGTCAGCGTCTCGCGCAGCCGGCCGATCTCCGCCTCGGTCGCCTCCAGGCGGGCTGCGGCGCGCGCCGACCTGGCCGGCCAGCCGGGCGAGCCCCTCGCGCCGATCGGCGGGCGCCGCGCAGCACGGTGGCGAGCGCCTTCTCCGCCGCCGGCCGCGGCGCGCCCTCCGCGTCCAGGCGGGCGGCCTGCGCGGACTCGAGCGCGGCGCGGGCGGCGTCGACCTCGGCGGTGAGCTCGGCCTCGGCGGCGCGGACCCCGCTCCGCCTGGCGCTCCAGGTCGTCCGGGTCCTGGCCCCGGGTCGGCTCGGGCCCGGCGGAGCCGAGCAGCCGCGCGCGGTCCGCGGCCAGCGAGGCCGTGCCGCGGAGCCGCTCGCGCAGCGAGGACAGCCGGTACCAGACGTCGGACGCCTCGCCGAGGGCCGGCGCCGCCTCGGCCGCCTCGCGCTCCAGGGCGGCGAGCCGGACGCGGGCCGCGTCCCAGCGCCGCCTCCGCCTCGGCCCGGCGGGCGCGCAGCGCGGTGTCGTCCGCGATCTCCTGCTCGAGCTGGGCGGGTCAGCTGCGCGAGGTCGTCCGCGAGCAGCCGGGCGCGGGCGTCCCGCAGGTCGGCCTGCACGGTCTGCGCACGGCGCGCGACCTCGGCCTGCCGCCCGAGCGGGCCGAGCTGGCGGCGCAGCTCCGCGGTGAGGTCGGTGAGCCGGGTCAGGTTCGCCTGCAATCGCGTCGAGCTTGCGGAGCGCCTTCTCCTTGCGCTTGCGGTGCTTGAGGACGCCCGCGGCCTCCTCGATGAACCCGCGCCCGCTCCTCGGGCGTCGCGCGCAGCACGGCGTCGAGCTGCCCCTGCCCGACGATCACGTGCATCTCGCGGCCCAGGCCGGAGTCGGACAGCAGGTCCTGGATGTCGAGCAGCCGGCACGCCCGGCCGTTGATCGCGTACTCCGAGCCGCCGTTGCGGAACAGCGTCCGCGAGATCGTGACCTCGGTGTACCTCGATCGGCAGCGCGCCGTCGGAGTTGTCGATGGTCAGCGTCACCTCGGCCCGGCCCAGCGGCGCCCGCGACGACGTGCCGGCGAAGATGACGTCTTCCATCTTGCCGCCGCGCAGGGTCTTCGCGCCCTGCTCGCCCATGACCCAGGTCAGGGCGTCGACGACGTTGGACTTGCCGGAGCCGTTCGGGCCCGACGACGCAGGTCACCCCGGGCTCGAGGTTCAGCGTCGTCGCCGAGGCGAACGACTTGAACCCGCGCAGGGTGAGCGTCTTGAGGTGCACGGGCCGCAGCCTAGTGCGCGGGTCCGACCGGCCCCGGGAGGCGGGCGACGCAGCGCGAGGTCGTCACTCGCGCGCGAGGTCGTCAGACGTTCCTGACGACCCTCGGCGCGATGTGACGACCTCGCGGGGTCGAGCGGGGTCGAACCGGGTCAGGCCGCCAGGGCCGGGAACCAGAGGGCGATCTCGCGGGCGGCCGACTCCTCGGAGTCGGAGCCGTGCACGAGGTTCTGGGTGACCGCCAGACCCCAGTCGCGGCCGAGGTCGCCGCGGATGGTGCCCGGGGGCGGCGGGTGGTCGGCTCGGTGCTGCCGGCCAGGGAGCGGAAGCCCTCGATGACCCGGTGGCCCTCGGCCACGACGGCCAGGACCGGGCCGGACCTCATGAAGTCGACGAGCGGCTGGAAGAACGGCTTGCCCTCGTGCCTCGGCGTAGTGCTGCTGGAGCAGGGCGTCGTCGGCGGTGCGGAGCTCGACGGCCACGAGGGTGTACCCCTTGGCCTCGATGCGGCGGAGGACCTCGCCGGAGAGTCCGCGGCTCACGCCGTCGGGCTTGACGAGGACCAGGGTGCGCTGGATGTCGCTCATGCCCCGAACCCTAACGAACGAGCACAGCCGAGATAGGACGGTTCCGCCGAGCTAGGACCGGCAGGGTCCGATCTCGGCGCGCAGGCCCTATCTCGGCGTTCGTCCGGCGCGGGCGACCGTCAGGGGCGGTCGGGCGACTCCGGCGGGAGGGCCCGCGGCGGGAGGCCGCCCTGCGGGCGTCTGGTCCGGGTACTCGGCGTCGAACGCCGCGCGCTCCCGGTCGATCCGGCCGCCCAGGCGGAGCGAGGCGAACCACAGCACGGCGAACAGCAGGCCGAGCGCGAACATCAGCGGGATCACGAACCCGCAGGCGATGACGACGAGCTGGGCGACCGACCCGGCGACGTACCCGCCCGGCGCGGTGACCAGGCGGGACAGCACGACCAGCACCACGAACAGCACGCCCGCGACGGTCCACAGGACGGCGGGCGACGCCGAGACGACCCCGGCCGCCGACAGCCCGTACGCCGTCAGCGCCGCGAACAGCACCAGCACCGCCCTCGAGGACCAGGATCATCGAGGTGAACTGGGGCTTGGCGGGGCGCTTCTGGCGCACGGGCCGGTTGGCGTGCATGCTCACGAGCGCAGGTTACCTGCGGTCGTCCCGCGGAGCCGTGGTCGGCGACGTCCGCCGCCGTGCCCGAGGCGCCCGGCGTCGACGGGACACCGGCCGAGACGGTCGCCGGCGCGGCCGGGGCAGCCGCGGTCGCCTCGCCGCGCGCCACCATGCCGGCGACGTCGGACAGCTTCACCTCGCGCAGGAACAGCGTGAGCACGAAGCCGATCGCCAGCAGCGGCACCAGGTACCAGAACGCCGGCGCCAGCGCCTCGGTGTACGCGGTCACCACGCCGTCGTGCAGCGGCTCGGGCAGCTGGGGACACCAGGGCCGGGGTCAGCGACTCGGCGGAGCCGCCGGTGTCGATCCCCGCGGTGCCGGCGCCCGCGAACACGGACTCCAGCCGCTCGGACAGCCGGGTGGTGAAGATCGTGCTGAACAGCGCCGTGCCCACCGCGGCGCCGATCTCGCGGAAGAAGTTGTTCGCCGAGGTCGCGGTGCCGAGCTCGTGGGGGTCGACGGAGTTCTGCACGGCCAGGACGACGGTCTGCATGACCAGGCCGAGGCCCCGCGCCGAGCGCGAAGATCATCGCGCCGAACAGCACCATCGACATGTCGCCGGTGATGGTGGTCAGCCAGGCGAGGGCCCGCTGTGGTGATCGCCATGCCGGTGATCGGGGAACGCCTTGTACCGGGCCGGTCTTCGTGATCGCGATGCCGGAGGCGATCGAGGTGAGCATGACGCCGACGGTCATCGGCAGCATGAGCAGGCCCGGACTCGGTCACGCCGGAACCGGTCGACATCTGCAGGAAGGTCGGCAGGAACGCGAGGGACGCGAACATGCCCATGCCGATGACCAGGCCGATGCCGGTGGCCAGGGTGAACGTCGGGTTCTTGAACAGGCGCAGCGGGAGGATCGGCTCGACGGGCGCGGAGCTCGACCAGCACGAACGCCACCGCGGCGGCCAGGGTGCCGACCAGCAGGCCGACCAGGCGCGGGTCGGACCAGTCGTAGCCGCCCTCGCCGGACAGCGAGGTCCACGAGGTGACGAGCACGAGCCCGGAGGTCGCCAGGGTCAGCAGCACGATGCCGGCGACGTCGAGCGGGCGGTCGGACCGACGGCTCGGCAGCTTGAGCGTGAACCAGGCGACGACGAGCGCGGCGATGCCGATCGGGATGTTGATCCAGAAGCACCAGCGCCAGTCGAAGTGGTCCGTGAACAGGCCGCCGAGCAACGGGCCGGCGACGGCGGAGACGCCGAACAGCGCGCCCATCGGGCCCATGTACTTGCCGCGCTCCTTGGCGGGCACGATGTCGGCGATGATCGCCTGCGACAGGATGATCAGGCCGCCGCCGCCGAGGCCCTGGACGCCGCGCCAGATGACCAGCTCGTGGAAGGTCTGCGCGAAGCCGGCGCCGGCGGACGCGAGCGTGAACAGGCTGATCGCGACCAGGAACGGCCAGCGCCGCCCCCACAGGTCGCCGAACTTGCCGTACAGCGGCATGACGATCGCGATCGCCAGGATGTAGATCGTCACGAACCCAGGCCCTGGTGCTCGACGCCGTTGAGCTCGCCGACGATGGTCGGCATCGCGGTGCCGACGATCGACTGGTCGAGCGACGACAGCAGCATGCTGGCGAGCAGGGCGCCGAAGATCAGCCAGACGGTGCGCTGGTTCAGCTCGACCAGCGGCTTGTCCGGCGCGGGTGCGGCGGTGGCCATGGGTACCTCGTTCTCGTGGGCGGTCCGGCCGCGCGGGGCGGGGCGCGCGGCGGTGGGTGGCGTGCGGGCGTGGGTGGTGCGCGGGGGTCAGGCGCGGGGCGCGACGATCGCGGTGAGCTCGGCGACGACCGACGGCAGGTGGTCCTGCACGTCGCCGTCCCCGCCGGCGGTGTCCCAGCGGACGAACGTCGCGTGCGCGAGCGCCAGGAGCAGCGTCCCGACCAGCGCGACCGTCGACTCGTCCGCCGCGTCGCCGAACCGGCGCCGGACCCAGGCCGCCGAGCTCGTCGGTCAGGCCCTGCAGGTGGGTGTAGGCGCGCAGCATGACCTCGGGGTGGTCCTTGGCCAGCTCGAACGCCCGCTCCATCCGCTCCTTGCCGAGCGGCGGGTGGTCGAGGGCGCTGGTGATGAGGGCCTGCATGTCCGTGAGCAGGTGCCCCGTGGGGCCGCCGGCGGCGAACCGGTCGCCGACCGCGGGGTCCAGGCGCCAGTGCTCCATCCCGAGCACGGCGTCGTCCTTCGACTCGAAGTAGTTGAAGAACGTCCGCACGCTCACCGCCGACCTCGGCGCAGATCGCCTCGACCGTCACGCGCTCGAGGCCCTGCTCCGCGGCCAGCCGGTGGGTGGCGTCGACGAACGCCTCCAGCCGGGCGCGCTTCTTGCGCGCCCGCAGCCCCTCGACCTCCGCCGACTTCTTGCACGCCCTGAATTATTGCAGAGCGTGCAGAGTTGTCCAGGGCAACGGAGGTGCGAGGCCGGTCACACCTCGCCGAAGCCCTCCTCGACCGCCCCGACGAACGCGTCGACCGCCACCCGGGCCTGCGGCCCGGTCGCCGACACCTCGAGCGTCCGCCCCTGCGTGGCGCCGAGCTGCATGAGCTCGAGGACGCTCGCGCCGTTGACGCCGTCCACCTGCACGGCGGCGTCGAAGCCGGCCATCATCCGGGCGAGCACCGCGGCGGGGCGGGCGTGCAGGCCCATGGGGTTGCGCACGACGACGTGCGCGGTGATCGGGGCGGCCGTCTCGCCGGCGTGGTGCGGCTCGGCAGGTGCGGCGGCGGCCGCGGGGCTCGCGGACGGCTCGCCCGCCGCCCCGGCCTCCGGCTCGACCCCGCCCGCGCCGACCGCGTGCGGGAACCCGGCGCCCGCGGCCACGGCCGCGCCGAGCACCTCGCCGACCGGCGCCCCGCCCGCCGCGGTCACGCCCGCCGCGACGGCGGCCTCCACGAACGGCGCGTCCGCGAGGTGCACCCGGGCGGCGACGTCCTCGTCGAGGAGCTCGAGCACGGACTCGGTCGTCAGCACGGCCGAGCCGAGGTCGGTCAGCACGACCGCGGACCGGCCGTCGGCGGTGGCCTCGCCGAGCGCCTGCTCGACCAGGTCGAAGCTGGTGCCCAGCCCGCCGGCGCCGTCGCCGCCCGCGGCGATGATCAGCACCTCCGGCGCCATCTGCGCCGCCAGCTCCCGGACGCCCTCGGCCAGCGTCGCCGAGTGGGAGACCAGGACGAGGGCGACCGGGGCGGCGGTCATGCGATCGCCGCCGCGGTCTCGGCGGCGGCCCTCGAGGACAAGCGCGCTCGACGTCGCCCCGGGGTCCTGGTGGCCCGCGGAGCGCTCGCCGAGGTAGGAACGCGCGCCCCTTCGTCGCCACCAGCGGGGTCGTGGCCTCGGCCCCGGCGCGCGCCGCCTCCGCCCGCGGCGGCCAGCACCGCGGCCGGGGAGGCGCCGGCGTCGGACGCGGCCACGGCGGCCTCGACCGCGGGGGTCCAGGCGTCGACCATCGTCTTCTCGCCGGTGCCCGCCTTGCCGCGCACCACGATGCCCTCCAGCCCGGCCTCGAGCATCGCGACGACCGCGCCGCTGTCGAGCTCGGGCAGGCCGGTGACCTTCGCGGCGCGCAGGTAGGCCGTGCCGTACAGCGGGCCGGCGGCGCCGCCGACCGTCGACATGAGCGTGGTGGCCACGAGCTTGAGCACCGCGCCGACGTCCGCCGGCTGCTCCTCCAGCGCGTCGAGCTTGGCCAGCACGGCGGTGAAGCCCCGGGTGAGGTTCTCGCCGTGGTCCCCGTCGCCGAATCTGCCGGTCGAGCTCGATGAGGAGCTCGCGGTTCTCGGTCACCACCTGCGCCGTGCGACGCACCCAGGCGACCGCCCAGCCCGCATCCAGAGACCCCCGCCATGTCCTTCTCCCACCTCCGCCGTCGAGACCTCGACCACGCGCCCGGGAGGGCGGCGGGCCGGCTACCAGTGCAGCGCGGCCGTGCGCACCGGCGCGTCCCACAGCGCGGCGAGCTCGTCGTCCAGCCGGAGCACAGTGACCGAGGCGCCCTGCATCTCCAGTGATGTCACGTAGTTGCCCACGAGCGACCGGGTCACCTGGACCCCGCGGCCCTCGAGCAGCCTGCGTGCCTGACGATAGACGACGTAGAGCTCCGACTGGGGCGTGCCGCCCATGCCGTTGACGAACAGCAGCACCTGCTCCCCCGACGCCAGGCCGAGGTCGTCGGCCACCGGGGTCAGCAGCATCTCCGTGATCTCGTCGCGGGCGCGGCCTTGATCCGGCGCCGGCCGGCTCGCCGTGGATGCCGATGCCGATCTCGATCTCGTCCTCCGGCAGGTCGAAGGACGGCTTGCCGGCGTGCGGGACCGTGCAGGCGGTGAGGGCGACGCCCATCGACCGCACGTTGGCCACGACCTTCTCGGCGACCGCGACCACCGCCTCCAGGTCGTCGCCGCGCGCGGCGGCCGCGCCGGCGATCTTCTCGACCGCGACGGTGCCCGCGACGCCGCGCCGGCCCGCGGTGTACAGCGAGTCCTCGACCCGCCACGTCGTCGTTCACGACGACGGTACGGACCGTGAGGTCGTCGGCGTCGGCCAGCTCGGCGGCGGTCTCGAAGTTGAGCACGTCGCCGGTGTAGTTCTTCACGATCGCCAGCACGCCGGCGCCGCCGTCGGCCGCGGCGAACGCCGGGGCGATCTGGTCCGGGGGTCGGCGAGGTGAACATCGCGCCCGGCACCGCGGCGTCGAGCATGCCGTCGCCGACGAAGCCCGCGTGCAGCGGCTCGTGCCCGCTGCCGCCGCCGGAGACCAGCCCGACCTTGCCGCTGACGGCGCCGCCGGCCCGGGAGACGAACAGCGGGTCGGTGTGCACCTGGACCACGTCGGCGTGCGCGAGGCCGAAGCCCTCCACCGACTCGGCGACGACGGACTGGGGGTCGTTGATGAGCTTCTTCACGGCGATGCTTCCTTCCCGGCACCCGGCGCCCCGGCGCCCTCGCCGCGGCTGTGCCCACACTCGCCGCGCTGGTCGCGGGCCGTCAAGGGTGAGATGTGCGGCGGGGGTGCACGTTCGTGCACCCCCGCCGCGGGCCCGCCGACCGGGGCCGCCGGCCGTCCCGTCAGGCGCGGCCCGTGAGGACGCGCGCCTCCGCGACCAGGTAGATCGAGCCGGTCACGAGCACCGCCGCGCCGCGCTCCACCTCGCGCTCCGCGAGGTCGGCCGCGAGCGTGACCGCCTCGTCGAGCCGCTCGCGCACGTGCACCCGGTCCTCGCCGAACACGTCGACCGCGATCTCGGCCAGGTCGTCGACCTCCATCGCCCGCGGGTTCGACGCCCGCGTGACGACGACCTCGGCCAGGTACGGCTCCAGGACCGCGAGGATCGCCTCGGGGTCCTTGTCCGCCATCGCGCCGACGACGCCGACGATCCGCTGGAACGCGAACGCCTCCTCGACGGCCGCGACCAGCGCCTCGGCGCCGGCGGGGTTGTGCGCGCCGTCGACCAGCACGGTCGGGCTCGACCGGACCAGCTCCAGGCGGCCCGGGGAGTCGACGTCGGCGAACGCCGCCTCCACCACCGAGCCGTCCAGCGCGCCGCCGCCCGCGATCAGCGCCTCGACGGCCGCGAGCGCCGCGAGCGCGTTGTGCGCCTGATGCTCGCCGTGCAGCGGCAGGAAGATGTCGGTGTACACGCCGCCCGAGCCGCGCAGCGTGAGCAGCTGCCCGCCGACGGCGACCTGCCGGTCCACGACGTCGATGTCGACGCCCTCGCGGACCACCCGCGCGCCGCGCTCGGCGGCGGCCTCGAGGATCACGCCCTCGGCGTCCTCCTCCTGGCGGGACAGCACGAGGGTCGCGCCGTCCTTCACGATGCCGGACTTCTCCCCCGCGATCTCGACCAGGGTGTGCCCGAGGTACCGCTCGTGGTCGTAGGCGACCGGGGTGATGACCGCGACCTCGCCGTCGGCGACGTTCGTGGCGTCCCAGCGCCCGCCCATGCCGACCTCGACCACGGCGACGTCCACCGGGGCGTCCGCGAAGGCCGCGAACGCCATGGCGGTGAAGACCTCGAAGAAGCTGAGCCGCGGGCGGCCCTCCGCCTGCTCCTTGACGTCGACCATGTGCACGTACGGCGCGACGTCCTGCCAGGTGGCGACGAACGCCTCGTCGGAGATCGGCTCCCCGTCGATCGCGATCCGCTCGGTCACCCGGTGCAGGTGCGGGCTGGTGAAACCGGCCCGTCCGCAGCCCGTGCTCGCGCACCAGGCGCTCGACCATGCGGGCCGTCGACGTCTTGCCGTTCGTGCCGGTGAGGTGGATGACCCGGTACGCCTTCTGCGGGTCGCCGAGCAGCTCGCACACCGCCGCGACCCGGTCGAGGGTCGGGTCGATGTCGTGCTCGGGCGCCCGCTCGAGGATGCCCGCGTACACCTCGTCGGCGGCGCGGCGGGCGGCCTGGGCGGCCTCGTCGCGCTGGTGGTCCGCTCCCCCGCGGGCCCTTGGCGGCCATCAGGCGTCCACCCGCTCGACGCCGACGGCGAGCTCGGAGCCCGAGTCGTCGACGACCACCTCCGTCGCCAGCGTCTCGCGCGCGATGAACTCCCGGTGCGCCTCGACCGCCGCCCGGTGCTCCGCCGGCACGCCCAGCGTCAGCCGGATCCGGTCGGTCACCACGAGGTCGGCCGCCTTGCGGGCGTCCTGCACCGCGCGGACGACGTCGCGGGCGTACCCCTCGGCCAGCAGCGCCTCGTCCAGCGCCAGGTCGAGCACCACGAACCCGCCCGAGGGCAGCACGCCCGCGGCCAGCGCCGGCGCCTCGCCCTCGGCGGTGGTGACGTCGATCGACGTCGTCAGCTCGTACTCGGACGGCTGCATCGGGACGTCGCCGTCGTCGGTGCGCACGACCACGGTGCCCTCGGCGTCGGTGGACCAGTCCCCGGCCTTGGCGGCGCGGATCACGGCCTGGACGCCGCGGCCCAGGCGGGGGCCGGCGGCGCGGGCGTTCACCGCGAGGTTGCTGCGGACCGCGACGCCGCCCGCGGCGGCCTCCTCGACCGTCGAGAGCGTGACGCGCTTGACGTTGAGCTCGGCGGCGAGCAGATCCGCGAACGGCTGCAGGGCCTCCGGGGTCGCCGTGGCGACGCGCAGCTCGCTCAGCGGCTGCCGCACGCGCAGGCCCGTTGGCCTTGCGCAGCGCCAGGGCGGCGGACACCGCCTCGCGCACGCCGTCGACCGCGGCGACCAGGTCGTCGTCGGCCGCGAGCGCCAGGTCGTCCGCGGAGCCGTCGCCCAGGGTCGGCCAGTCGGACAGGTGCACCGAGCGGTCGCCGGTCAGGCCGCGCCACACCTCCTCGGACAGCAGCGGGGCCAGCGGCGCCATGACGCGGGGTCAGCGTCTCGAGCGACGTCCACAGCGTGTCGAACGCCGCCTGGTCCTCCGACCAGAACCGGTCGCGCTGGGTGCGCACGTACCAGTTGGTCAGCAGGTCCAGGTGCACGCGGACGGTCTCGCAGGCGCCGGGCACGTCGTACGCGTCGAGCTGCGCGGTCACCGTCTCGACGAGCTTCCGGGTCCGGGCCAGCACATACCGGTCCATCGTGGTGACCGGGGTGTCCGGCGTGACCCGGCCCGCGGTGAGACCCGCGCCCTGGTGCGCCGCGTTGGCGTACAGCGCGAAGAAGTACCAGGTGCTCCACAGCGGGAGCAGCACCTGGCGGACCTCCGAGCGGATGCCCTGTTCGGTGACGATCAGGTTGCCGCCGCGCAGGATCGGCGAGGCCATCAGGAACCAGCGCATGGCGTCCGAGCCGTCGCGGTCGAACACCTCGGAGACGTCGGGGTAGTTGCGCAGCGACTTGCTCATCTTCTGGCCGTCATTGCCCAGCACGATGCCGTGCGAGACGGAGGTGCGGAACGCCGGGCGGTCGAACAGCGCCGTCGCGAGCACGTGCAGCAGGTAGAACCAGCCGCGGGTCTGCCCGATGTACTCCGTGATGAAGTCGCCCGGGTAGTGGTGCTCGAACCAGTCGGCGTTCTCGAACGGGTAGTGCACCTGCGCGTAGGGCATCGAGCCCGAGTCGAACCAGACGTCGAAGACGTCCTCGATGCGGCGCATGGTCGACTTGCCGGTCGGGTCGTCGGGGTTGGGCCGGGTCAGGTCGTCGATGTAGGGCCGGTGCAGGTCGGGCTCGCCGGCGTCGTTCAGCGGCAGCCGGCCGAAGTCGGCCTCCAGCTCGGCGAACGAGCCGTACACGTCGATGCGCGGGTGCGCCGGGTCGTCGCTCACCCACACCGGGATCGGGCTGCCCCAGTAGCGGTTTCGCGAGATCGACCAGTCGCGCGCATTCGACAGCCACTTGCCGAACTGGCCGTCCTTCACGTGCTCGGGGTACCACGTGATCTGCTGGTTCAGCTCGACCATCCGGTCCCGGAACTCGGTGACCTTGACGAACCACGACGACACCGCGCGGTAGATCAGCGGATTACGGCACCGCCAGCAGTGCGGGTACGAGTGCACGTACGACGCCTGGCGCAGCAGGCGGCCGTCGGCGCGCAGCCGCTGCGTGATCGGCTTGTTCGCGTCGAACACCTGCTGGCCCCTCGAAGTCGGGCACGAGGGACGTGAACTTCCCGCCCTCGTCGACGCTCAGCACCGTCGGGATGCCGACGGCCTCGCAGGTCTCCTGGTCGACCTCGCCGTAGGCCGGGGCCTGGTGCACCACGCCGGTGCCGTCCTCGGTGGTGACGTAGTCCGCGAGCAGGATCTGGAAGCCGTGCTCGGCCATGCGGGCTGGTCCGCCAGGTAGTCGAACAGCCGCTCGTACCGGACGCCGGCCAGGTCGGCGCCGCGCACCTCGCGGGTCACGGCGGCCAGGGCGTCCTCGGCGGAGTCGTAGCCGAGGTCCTTGGCGTAGCCCTTGACGAGGTCGCGGGCGAGCAGGAAGGCCGAGCCGGTCGCGCTGGTGCCGTTCGGGCCCGCGGGGACCACCGCGTAGGCGACCTCGGGGCCGACCGCGAGCGCCGAGTTGGTCGGCAGCGTCCACGGGGTCGTCGTCCAGGCGAGGGCGGCGACGCCGTCGAGGCCGAGCTCGGTCGCGCGCTCGCCGGTCAGCGGGAACGTCACCGTGACCGTCTGGTCCTGGACGTCCTTGTAGACGTCGTCGTCCATCCGCAGCTCGTGGTTGGACAGCGGCGTCTCGTCGTTCCAGCAGTAGGGCAGCACGCGGTTGCCCTCATAAGCCAGCCCCTTGTCCCACAGCTGCTTGAACGCCCAGATCACCGACTCCATGAACGTCAGGTCCAGGGTCTTGTAGTCGTTGTCGAAGTCGACCCAGCGGGCCTGGCGCGTGACGTACACCTGCCACTCGTCGGTGTACCGCAGCACCGACGTCCGGCAGGCGTCGTTGAACGCCTTGATGCCCATCTCCTCGATCTGGGCCTTGTCGGAGATGCCGAGCTGGCGCTGCACCTCGAGCTCGGCGGGCAGGCCGTGGGTGTCCCAGCCGAACCGGCGCTCGACGCGGCGGCCCCGCTGCGTCTGGTACCGGCCGACGATGTCCTTGACGTAACCGGTCAGCAGGTGGCCGTAGTGCGGCAGCCCGTTGGCGAACGGCGGACCGTCGTAGAACACGAACTCGTTCGCGCCGTCCTCACCGGCGTCACGGGCGTCGATCGACGCCTGGAACGTCCCGTCGGACTCCCAGTACGCGAGGACGTCCTTCTCCAGCGCGGGGGCAGGTCCGGGGACGCGGGCAGGCCGAACGAGGCGCCCGGCGCGACGGGCGCGGCGCGGCGGCCGGTCGGGGTGCGGTGCAGCGGATAGGCCATGGCGGATGGCGCTCCTGGTGGTCGGCGGGCCCGGGGCCCGCGGTGCGGTGGCGGATCCACGGGGACGACGTCACGCCCGGGCCTGAGCCCCGGCGGGCACCGCGGTACCACCCCGCTTGCCGATCGCCTCGCCCGCGGGTGCGGGGTCGGCGCGCGACCACTCTGCTGCGGCTGTGACGGGCCTGCCCCGTCCGGGTCTACTGGGGGTCCGTCGCGTGCGTGCTGCGGCTCGCCCTGTTCTTCCGGAGGCTCCCCGGTGATGGCCGGATCGGTGCCTGTGGTGACGAGTGTAGCGAGGGCGTCCAGCGGGGTGCATCGGGTCACCCTCGCGCCCGGACGATCTGCCCGGCGGCTCGGGCCTCGCGCCCTTCCGCCCGGGACGCGTCCCGGCCCAGCGTCGTGCCCGACGGAGGCGGACGGCCTCCCCCGGGACGAGGAGCACGACATGACCACGCACGACACGACCGCCTCCGGGCGCACGGCGCCGCGCGCCGCGACCGTCGGTGCCGCCGCAGGGGGCAGCACCGGCGACGCGGCCGACGCGGTGGCGTCGCCGAGCGCGACCGGGCCGACCCGCGTCCGCCCGCAGCCGCGGGGCTGGGCGTTCGCCGGGATCGCCGCCGGCGTGACCGGCCTGGTGGGCATCCAGGCGTCGATGGCGCTCGGCGCGAACTGGGAGCAGACGGCGGGCGACGCGGACGCCATCGTCGCGGACCTGTCCGGGCGCACCGCGGCACTGCTGCTGTTCCACACCGCGACGATCGTCTCGGCGCTGCTGGTCGTCGTGTTCGCCGCGGGGCTGTCCCGGCGACTGGCCCAGCAGGCGCCGGCCGGGAGCCTGCTGCCGTCGGTCGCGTCGGGCGGACTGCTGCTCGTGGCGGTCGCCGGGCTGCTGGGGACCGGCCTCGACACGCAGTTCATGTTCGGGTTCGCCGACCCGGAGCTGATCGTCCCCGAGTCGGGCGCGTTCTTCAGCGACTGGGTCGCGACGATCCCGTGGCTGTGGGTCGGCGCGGGCCTCGCGGGCATGGCCGTCGCGGTCGCGGCGCTCCGGCACGCGGCGGCGCCGCGGTGGATCGGCTGGGTCGGGGCCGTCCTCGGCGGGCTGACGCTGCTGCTCGGCGTCTCGCCGCTGCAGTACATGGCCGGCTTCACCGGGCCGCTGTGGCTGCTGGTCACCGCGATCGGGTTCGCTGTCGGCGACCGCCGGTGACCCTGCCCTCTGCGATGCCCGACCCCTCCCGTTCTGTGATGGTTTGCCCCTACGGTGACGCCATGGACCGGGAGGGGTCGGTGGTGCGCGACGGGGCGCCCGCGGTCGCGCTGGCGATCGCGCTGGTGGCCTGGCTGCTCGCCGGGACCGCCGCGGTGCTGCACATCGCCGCCCGCGGCGGGATGACCGCCGGGGACCTGCTGTTCACCGCGGTCGACGTCACCGTCGCGGCCGTCTACGGGACGGTCGGCGCGGTCATCCTGTCGCGCCGGCGGCACCCGGTCGGCTGGCTCGTCGCGCTGACCGGCGTCGCGGGCGGGGTGTCCGCGGTCGGCGGCGCCTGGGGCGCGTTCGCCGCCACCCGGCCCGGTGCGCCACCCCTCGACTGGCTGGTGGGTGCGTTCGGCTGGATCTGGGTCCCGGGCACGGTGGCGCTGTTCACCGTCGTGCCGTGGCTCGCGCGCGACCGGCGGCTCGGCCCCGTGGCGTGGGCGGGAGTCGCGCTGGGCGCCACGACGGCGCTCCTGCTCACCGCTACGCGGCTGCTCGCGCCGATGGCGGACGCCCGTGGCGCCCTCGCGCTCGTCGTCGCCGCCGGCGTCGTCACCGCGGGTGCGACGTGGTGGCGGTACCGCCGCGGACCCGCGGTGGAACGGCGGGGGCTCGGCGTGCTCGCCGCGGCGACGGCGATCATGGCGCTGTCGTTCGTGCCGCTGGTGCTCGCCGACCCCGGTCCCCGCGCTGTTCCTCGTGGTGCCGGTGAGCCACCTGGTCTGCCAGGCGCTCTTCCCGGCGGCGCTGCTGGTGACCGTGCTGCGCAACCGCCTCTGGGGGCTCGACCTCGCGATCAGCCGCGCGACGGTCGCGGCGCTGCTCACCCTGACCCTGGCCGGGGGTGTACGCGCTGGTCACCGCCGGGGTGTCGCTGCTCGCCGGGACCAGCACCCCCGGGCGCGCAGGTGGCCGCCGCCGTCGGCGTCGTGCTGCTGCTGCAGCCGGTGCGCGGGTGGCTGCAAGCGCGCGTGCGGCACCTCGTGTACGGCGACGCGTCCGACCCGGGCCGGGCGGCGCTCCTGCTCGGCCGCAGCCTGGCGGCGCCCGGCGAGTCGGACGACCTGCTCACCGGGCTGGCCGCGGGCGTCGGGGAGTCGCTGCGCCTCGAGTCGGTCGCGCTGCGCACCGCGGGCGCCGATCCGCTGGCCGCCGTGTGGGGCGCGCCGACGTCCGAGCCGGTGCGGCTGCCGGTCGAGCACGCGGGCCGCGCGGCGGGCGAGCTGGCCGTGACTGCGCCGCCCGGCGAGCGCCTGGACGCGCGGACGCACGCCCGCGCTCGACCAGCTCGTGCCCGTCGTCGCGGCCGGGCTGGCGCTGGCGGCCGGCGCCCGGGACCTGCAACGCGCGCGGGGACGCCGCCACCTCCGCCCGGCTCCGCGAGCGCCGCGCCGTCCGCCGCGAGCTGCACGACGGCCTCGGGCCGTGGCTGTCCGGCGTGCGGCTCGGGCTGCAGGGCGCTGTGAACCTCCTGGACGCCGGGCGGCCGGACGACGTGGCCGCTGCGCGGGAGGCGCTCGCCGCGCTGCGGGACGAGGCCGAGCGCCGCGTCGACGACGTGCGGGACCTCGCTCGGAGCCTGCTGCCACCGGTGCTGGACGAGCAGGGGCTCGGGGCCGGCGCTCGATGACCTGGCACATCGGCTGGGGCGCGACGGTTTCGCCGTCGAGCGGACGGGTGACGACCCCGGGGACCTGGACCCGGTGGTGGCTGCGGCGGCCTACGGGGTGCTGAGCGAGGCGGCCCGCAACGCGCAGCGGCACTCCGGCGCGCTCGGGTGCCGGCTGGTGGTCCCGCCGGTCCGCCGGCGTCCTGGAGGTGCGGTGCGAGGACGCGGGCCGCGGGCCGGGCGCCGCGGGCGGGGCCGCTGACGGCGCCGTCGGGGTCGGCACCCGGTCGATGCGCGAGCGGGCCGAGGAGCTGGGCGGCTGGGTCGAGATCACGGACGCCACGCCGGGGACCCGGGTGCGGGCCGTGCTGCCGCTGGTGCCGGGCGCTCCGGTGCCCGGCGGCCCGGGGGCGGCGGTCGACGCGATCGCTCCCGCGACCGAGGCGGTGCCCACGTGACGCTGCGCGTCGCCCTGGTCGACGACCACCCGGTGTTCCGGCTCGGCATGGCGGCACTCCTCGGGTCGCTCGCCGGGGTGGAGGTCGTGGGCTCCGCGGCGGGGGCCGCGCAGGCGCGGTCGCTGCTCGTCGGCGTCGGCGCCCCGGAGGTCGACGTGGTCGTGATGGACCTCGACCTCGGCGACGGGTCGGGGGTCGACGTCACCCGCGAGGTCGTCACCGCGCGACCGGGGATCGCCGTGCTCGTCATGAGCATGCACGAC